ACAGCAGCTGTGAACATGGAAACTGAACCTAGAGCTTCGCGTGGTCTCGTTTGGACGAACGAAGGAGTAGAATTATCCTCTGTCCCGCGCTGGAAGCCCACGTAGCTAGTTTGTGTGGGCGGCGCCATTATTGTTGATGTTTGTTCTCCGCTACTGCGCATGTCCAAATTTACGTGCGGGGAGCAGCGCGGAGGTGGGGGTCAGAGCAGAGGGGGATTTCACACCTTTCCCCTCTCGCGGGTGTGAAAGAGAGCCCCCGCTGTGCAGCGTATCTGAGTTGTCCCACTCTGCAGGCTGGATCTGAACACTTACGTTTTCACCCCCCTGGAACACTGTCTTCGTATGAACGGTTGGTAGCAACCGACATCCAACTATACCGTTTTACTGCCACATTGTCTCCGTGTAAACTCAGCCTTATATAAAAAGGTCCAAAAATGGTGGTCCAGACTTTGTTATAGTTTGCTTTTACTGCTACAGGTTTGCATTTTTAAAACTGTGGTAACAACACCCATGGAGCTAAAAATGTGATCCAGAAATTCTTCACTGGCTGTAATTGGCGACAGAGCAGCCATTTCTCCGTGCTGTATCCGTACGGTCACTGCGGTCACAAAACTGCAGAATAAATTGTACAAGCATCATGCAAATAAACATAGCTTGTAGAAATGCAAACACAATAGCAACTGTGTAAATATGGGGCATTATATCCGACCGTTGCACACGGCCGACCTGGCAGGAGGACTCTCTCTCTCTGGGCCTGAACCAAATCTATGGAGGCCTGCTGGGCTCATGCATAGAGCATGTGTGTGTGAGAGAGAGTATTTGTGAGTAAATCCACCTTGGCCACAGCACGACTCTCCATCTCCAGCCTGTGACAGCGCTGAAAAGAGCTCCTGTTTTCAGGGCCAGTCTCATCCCACATTAATCAAGGTTAGGGTGATGGGGAGGGGGTGCATGGGGTGTACGCTCATACTGGTCCAGACAGCGGGAGTTGGAATGTATTCACAACAGGTAGTTTATTTTAAAATGGAACTGTGTCCGTACAGTAACCTGCACTAACAGTCCATGAAAACAAAATAATCAACTGTTTTCATTAGCTCTCCTTAGTCCTCAGGGTTGTGTTGGCAAGACACAGGTAAACTGGAATTAAAAAGAAAAGCCAGTGGAAATGCTCTGAAATGGGCAAAATATTACATTTAGGATGAAGAATGCACCAATGACCTTCTAAAACTAATGATTGTAAAAGTTTCTTCCAAATGTATGTGTGTCTTTACAAGGATTTTCTATTGATAAAATGCAATTTTTCTACTAATAAAAGTAGTACACACACACAAAAACTCACAAGCCATAAAGCAAACCAAAAGTCATTTTAGTGACTCAAGACTCAAAGTTTGACATTTCACACTTATCATAAAGTTACTAGATTTTTCAGGAGATCTCAACCACAACTTTTAGGATGAAGAGATCCTTTATTCGTCCCAGAGCAGGGAAATTTCAGTGTTGCATCATCAGTTACAAAACAGTAGGAATGACTTACTGTAGTAGCAAGATAAGTGAAAAATAACTAAAAGTAAAACAAAATCTCTAACTCTAGCAATAAAGAAACAAGTATAAAATCTATATATTTAACATAATACAATATTTACTATATCTTAACTATAGGCTCTTTAAAAATTGGGACATCACATACAATTAACAATAATCAAGAACAAAGAATACCGTACGTTCAAACAATTCAAAATGTAACACAGTCTTCGCTTGCCTTTAAAGGGCCTTAAAAAAACCCTGCTGTTTCCTTTCACATGTCCTCTCCGCCCGCCTTCAGACCCGCGTGCATTATCCACACCGCTGTAGAAGTAAAGCACGGCCGATAAACACGGACACACAAATCCCACTTTCCCTTCAGCGGCGGGAGTGGCGGTCCCTCTGAATGACTTGGTCCACTTCAGCACAACGCGCCACAAAGGCAGCCAGGCGGAGACGTCTTGTTTTTCTGGTAAACAGATCAAGTCAACCAAAGCAAGAGAGTTTTTTTCCCCACGGGCCGACGCGATAACATCTCCTCGTGCCGTGACCATCGCATCTCATCCTAACAAGGCAAACCATAACATCCTCCAGGACACACAAGCAGCGAGCCGCGCCATCAAAGTCCATTATTGTCACTCAGGCTGACGACAGGCGGCACGACAGGAGTAATTGCTCTGACTACGAGCTGCGCCGTAAATCCTCCAGTCAACAAGCGCAAAATTTGTTTTGGGTTGTTTATTCTTGTTAAATAATCCCAAGTCGAAGGTAAAGTCTGGCATCAACATGAGATTCAGCCCTATAAATACCGGAGCCCAATCTTTCTGGAGATGTGGTTATTAAAAAACAAGAAACGGGAGGTAATTATGTAAAGAAGATTAAGGTTTGTCGGGATGGATTCAAGCGCTCGAACTGGGCAACTTTTACACAGAGACATATTGAGGAAAGAGCTGAAGTTGGATGGATGACATTGATCCATCCAACTGGGTAGAGTTACTATATTTCTATCATTCTAAAACATCAATGAGATTTGTCTCAGGATACTTTGCTTCATGAGACTTTGAAACGATTAGCTTGACAATATGGTTAAATGCGCACTACAAGGAGGCAATAAAGTCTACAAACACGTTTAAAGGTGAGGTACCTCAACTTTTTTGGTTCCACAAATACATTGTGTTTTGTTCAAATAGTAAAAAAAAAAAACGGACCACAACATGCTGCATTTATCTTAATAGAACTCATTTTATCTTTTAAAAACTGAGAGTGGATTTGCTGAGTGAGGGCTGGTACTCTCACTGAAAACACTGATCTAAAGATACGAAAGAGGTCAGAAATACATGCTCGTGAGAACTAGTGCTAGAACCAATTATTTTTGAGAGCAAGGAACTAGTTAGGTGAATTTTTATGACATACATTAGATAATCTTTTCAAAGCTAGTTTTAGCTTAAACGGAAACGCACTACTCGATTATCGCCTCTCCACACAACTGACCAATAACTAAGGCGAGTAAGCAGCACTTTTTGTACATGTCAAAATAAGTCAATTCAATCCAATGTATCCTTGTATAGACCTAAACCACAACAGCGGTTATCTTGGAGGACTTTACACAACCGTTGAATTTACCAACACAGATCAGATTATCAAGAAATAGAACAGAAAATAGACCAGAAAACACATTGGTCATCTGCCCATTATAGAACAATACCAATGTCCATAAGTTTTGATAAATGTCCATAAAAATAGTGAATATATTCAACAAAAGGGAAACTATTCAACATGTGGCTACACTGTAGATCGCTCACTCCTCACAGTTGGACCTGAGCGACCGAGAGAATCTCCGTCGCTCCCTGTAAACTTCACATCTGCAGCTCTTTTATCAGTCTGATCCATCTGCTTCCTCTTTTCCCCATTGTTGCTCTGTCTTTCTTTTATTGACATCTCTATTTCTGCATCCTGCGTTTTCGACTTAATGTCCTTGTAAACCTTTCGGACATCACCTTGAATCCCGGCTTTGCATTCCCCCTTTCAAAGAAACTTCAAACTCTCTGAGACATGCCTGCTTGGATATGCTTTTGACAGGCGTCTGTTTACAAGAGGGGCCGAGTCGTATTTCACTCCACGCAGCGGCCTGAGAGAGTGAGTGAATGAGTTGTCGGAATTTCTGCCATGAAATTGAGCGTGTCCGAGGATACACCTGCAGATGAAGACACCGAGAGTTGTGAAAATCATCTATCTCTTTGCGTGCGGTGTATCCCATATGGACGGTGTTGCATGCAAAGGGCAATGGTGACAATGTGCGAGATGGAAAAGTGTAAATGTACTGTGTTTGCGACATCGCCCCGCTCCGGAGGGCAGATAGGGGGCAGTAAATGAATCATCGTCACTGAATGATGTGTAGATATAGCCTTGCTTTGTTTGTGTAGGAATAGTTTAGGCAGTGAGGAGTCAAGTCAGTGCAGGTGCGTTAGACGGTCGAGTCAAAATAGGGTCAACAGTCAAAGTGGTACACTGCAAAAAATGATAAACTATGAGGTAATACATGCTTGAATGGAGAGGTTTTTATAAATAAGTAAGTCATCTTTATTTATATACCGCCTTTCACAGACCAGAGTCACAAAGCGGTTTACAATTTATTTATTTTTTTTGGGCATTTGTCCTCTCACTCCACAGAGATGGGTCGCCGAACAGGAGGCACATGCCAGACCTATTGTACATATTTTTAGTGGTAGGGGAAACCGGAGTACCCGGAGGAAACCTACGCAGACACAGGGAGAACATGCAAACTCCACTCAGAAAGGCCCTGGTCCGACCGGGATTCAAACCCAGGACCTTCTTGCTGAGAGGCGAGAGTGCGATCCACTCAGCCACCGTGCCGCCCAATTTATCAGAATCTGACGGTCTTAAAACAAGATTTGACAATGGGACAAAGTCATTTAGTCTCATTTACAGAGGTGTTCTCATTCCATGAAAGATATTTATTGTTTGTTTTTTTTTAAATGGCAAATCTTGTTTTGAGCAATTTTTGACTTCCCTTTGTACAGTTTAGAAGCTTGGTTTGCATTTTTAAACCAAAAACAATGGAATTGTGGAATAAAACCCATCAAACTAGTTCCTTGCTCCCAAAACAGTTTGGTACCATAACAAGTTGTTGATAAAACATGATAAAAGCATAGTTTCTTTTTTTAAAATATTTTTTCTAGAGCAAGAAAGTGTTGTGTTCTAATTTGTTCACTGCATTTCATCAGTAAAATACTATTTCTGATGGGAAAAACAAAATATCATTCATGGAACCAAAACAAAAGTACACCATCATTAGTAAAATGATGGTGTACTTAGTAAATGTGCCAGAATAAAACGAGAAAAACACAGCCGTTAATATCCCCTTTTAACAAAATCATGCGGCATCCAAATAGCAGCTTGTTTATCACTGGCCCAACATTACAGGAGTCATTTGCTGATTGAAAAGCATGAGTCTGTACCGTGTAGGTCCTGCAGGACGGGTTGAAGGCGTTGGTCCCACACACAAAGAGAGTGTCGTCATTCTGCTGCAGCAGGACTTTGATAAAGTTATGGCACTCGTCCTTCAAGACAAAAAACAAAACAAAACACAAAGTCCAATTTGACTTTCAACTCCACACTTTAAAAACCTCAATACACATTTGGGCTTAAAATAACAGGCTCTAAAGGCTTATGATCAAAGAGGATCGAACTTAAAATAGTGGATATTGCAGAGGGAAACGTTTGAAGAATAATGTTTTATTTACACCAAAAAGTGTATTGTTTTTGTTTTCCTTCAATGTTAATGTACTGTATTGTAAATTTAATTGTGTTTTTAATTCTTTTTTTTTTTTCTTAGGCAGGCCTTAACATCTGCCCACGGGACTACTGATGAAAATTAGCTTAATTTAGCTAACTTGGGAACATTTACATTGCGTCATTTTGATTAATGTGCACTGTTTCATTGGACTTGAAAATATAGACACTGAACTCAACTCTCAGCTGTATGGGTGCAATGTTTTTTAAAATGTAGAATCAATATTATGTTCAGGTCTTCGCTCCAGTGTTTGAGAAGAGCTTTTCAGTCCTATTTGGCGAGTTCGATATGATGAATAATACTTGTTTTATGGAGTACCACACAGTCTAGTCAAAGTGCTATAGTGCTCCTTGGCAGATAAGGCAATTTCTTAAAACCACATTTTAGAGATTTCAAAAACATTCTCTTATCAAATTCATTTTTTTTTACACTTATTGTCTAGTTGCTGGTGACTGTAAGACATTTCAGGAATTAGCACAGCAGTGGAAATAGGGTGGGAAAATGTGCTAGTAGAAAATTAATGAATGGTGCTTCAGAATCAAGGACTTTTTAATTTCAGAATGCAGGAAATATTTGGCGGTACAGTACACGTTTTACTGACAGAAAATTATTCAATAAATGATGTGCATGTCCATGATTAAAAAAATACGACTAAAGAAGTGAGTGGAGGAAAATAAGTAATGCCCTCAGCAGAGAGCGAGAGATGGGGGAGAGGTGTAGGGTCAGAGAGTGTTTGGGCTTACTCTTATGACAATCTTAATATCTTAGTTAGTGCGTGTGTGTGCTTTTTGTTTTGTATGAGTAAGATAGGCTACTAATACTAATAATACTAATACTAAAACTGATAAAAATTGAAATAGACCTTATAAATGTGCTAATAATAGTATATGTATATCTTACTGTATTTGAATAAGTATGTTAGTAAACTGCACTTTTTATTTAACTGTATTTATTATGAAAGTTAATATGTATTGTCAAGGACTAGAGATGGAAAGTAGCACGGTACAAAATTTGGTGCAGCCATCTTTTTGCCTTTAATAAATTAAACTTGAAACGTACACACATACATATATAGCCATGTTAGCAGGTGCCTCCTTTACCTTATGCTTCCCCTTCATTCTGCATGTGTCCACGTCGGCCTGTCTGGACTTCCACGTCAGCTTCTGCAGAGAGAAGATTGCACAAAATGAGAAATACGTTTAAACCTCCAACCATAACGCGAGAGCCAGGCCGGAGAGGAGAAGACGTCAATAGGGGATCAATACGCTGATCGATAGTCATCATTTGAGAGTCGTGAGGAAACAGCACAGAGGTGAACTCCAGGATGGAGCTGAGATCTGATCGCAGCACCACCATAGACGTTCCAATTCCAGAAGTAATATGATCCCAGCACCAGGAGCGAGTCTAGACAAGGACAAGCTCGGACCGGTGGAGAGAGCTCTGCAGAGATTGATCTGTTGGGCCAGCTTTATGCATCACTCGGGTGTTTTTCTCGAGTGCCAAGACGCTGTAAATGTAAATAATAGGAAAACGATCTGAAGGAAAGACATTAAATATGGTCTAATTAAAGAGAACACTGCAACTTTGATAAAAATATAAAAAGGGAATTTGACTTCACATCAAAGTAACAAGTCACCTTCATGTTGTTGAATTGTATTACAGTTGGTGCACAGGTGCTATTAAATTAGCAGGTGTTCATGCGACTGATACAACTAAGCTAAGAACATAATGTTTTCTGAATATTGTCTCAACTTCTTCCTTTTTATACTTCTTCCATAATATATCACTGATGTATTATTTGTTAAGTCTGGCGGTTGATAGTTACTATTTTTACCAGGAAAGATTTTTCAGCCGTCTTCTAAACTTTAACTATTCTTTGGAACGGTGTGATGTCACATGAGCACAACATTTACTGTATTCACTAAAGACCCTAAATGTCTTGCTACAAACACAGATTGTGTGATTGTGTGTGAATGTCATTTCACCTTATCATTTGAAGTAATCTATGGGAAATACTCCAGTTGCAGAAATCTGAAGTAATAATACATGACTGAGACAGGAGGTTAGATACACGATATGTTCATGGATGGTTCTAAAACATCTCAAGGTTCAATTCAATTCAATATTTTTTTGTACAGCCCCAAATTACAACAGAAGCCGTCTCAGAGAACAATACAAAGTTGCGGATTCAATAATGTATTTGTCATTTGCAGTAAAACCACATTGGAAAAACTGTGCACCAGACAGAGTAGATAGTACACAGCAGCACTCCGGATTCCTCAACAATATATCAGAGAATGAAACAGTTTGAACACAGTATAAATAATATTAACAATATAGGGGTGGGATGATTAAGATTATGAGATCCTTTATTCGTCCCACAGAGGGGAAATTTCAGTGTTGCTTATAGAACAGTAGGAAAGAGGAGCACACGGCACAAGATAAGTGCACAATAGATATACTAATTATATATTAGTATATCTTATCTCCAAGACACGTTAGTGTCGTATCAACCAAGTCGAGCGTTGCGCTCACAAAACGCCAGACGTCTGGTAGTCCCTAAGGTCTCAAAAATCACTGTTGGTGGCAGAGCATTTAGCTACCAAGCTCCTTTACTGTGGAATCAGCTTCCCATTTATGTTAAGGAAGCAGATACGGTCTCCACATTCAAGGCCAGGCTTAAAGCACTTTACTTTAATTTAGCATATAATTAGGTAATATATAATATATGGTGTATATATTATATATATATGCTGTATTATGTTGTATATTATGTTATATATTATACAATAATGTATTGTGTTATGTTGTATATTATGTTATATATTATGCTGTATGTTATGTTGTGTATTATATATGATATATATGGTATGTATGGTATATATGATGTATATGATATATAATATATAATTAGGTTTGCTTGGATCGGTTTGCACACCTGGTGTGCAATCCATGAATCTCTTTATTCAAGGCTAGGTTTAAAACAGTCCTCTTTAGTTTAGCATATGGCTAGGAAGGTAAGACTCAGGGAAGGCTAAACTCCTCAGACTGTCAGTCAAGCTGCATAGGGAGTCAGTTTGCTGGGAGAAGTATGGTAACTTGAGCACTATCCTCTCCTCCTTCCTACTTTATCTACTTTATCTGTTTGGCACTTTTAGGATTTTGACTGTAGTTTGTTCATTGCTATTCACCCGTTGTCCCATTGTCTGTTTCATGGTACGATGACGGGATCTCTGAGCCTGGCCTCCTCCATCTGCACCTGCGGACTGCCCCGCCCGACCCGCCTGGGAGTGCTTCGGCCCTGCACCGGACCTGTCCACGTTCAGCGGCCACTGGTCCACGTCCTGTAGCTAGCTTAGGTCCTAGATCATTAGCCTGTCCGTCTGGAGGAGCGGATCCCTTTCTCAAATGGGTCTCCCTCCCTGTGGGTTTCCCTAGTTCTCCCCAAGGTTTCTCACTTTTTCCCACTGGGTTTTTTAAGAGTTTTTCCTTGTCGATGCAGGAGGGTCTTGTTGGACAGTTAGTGTCCAACAGAAAGGATTGGTGATGATCAGGACACTTTAGCATTCTACAACATGTATGGACATTTTCTTCTGTGTGTGCTTTATATTCTCCATGTGTTTTAACTGTTGATTCTCTGACCTGTGTTGGTGATTTCAATGGTTTTGTTAAGTCCTCTGAGATGACTTCTGTTGTGACCTAGGGCTATACAAGAATAAATTGTATTGTATTGTATTGTACTAATTAAAATGAAACAAAATTCCCAATTTCCATAAACATTAATAAATGTCTCAGATCATCACTGCCCTTCGACCCTCCAGAATCGGCAGGGTCTGTTTCTGTCGAGGAAACGATGTCGTAACATGATGAAAAAACTCAAAAAAGTCCATTTGCATATTATGTCTCCTTTTAGACAGTACTAATCTGGGCCTTTTCAAACCGTTCCCCTTTCACAGGCCTCCTCCGTGGACTTTACACCCCCTCCTCTTTATCCAAACACGCTCAACATGAATCCGAGATGGTGCCCCTTGTGGCCTGAAGGTCAACGGCGGCGCTCCTGCCCTCAGCTTTTAGTACAATCTGTTTGGAGCCGAGCCATTGATTAAAGAGTGTGGGCTATCCGTCAGTCTGCAGGTCTCCCCAGCCTTTCATCTACAGCGGCCTCATTAAGTCCCACTATACACCAGCTATAATCAGGAGGAGGCGCAGAGGTGAGGCCACACAAATGCAATACGCTCTGGACAAGTGATGCACGCGTGGATGGAGCTGGAGTGGTGTTCGAACACATGGGAGTATGCAAATACGGAGATTCATGCTGCTTTGTTGTACACTATTCATATATGTAAGGAGGTTTTTTTTTTCTGTTTCACTGCTATCTACATAAGAGATTGATTCCAGATTCATTCTTACATGCAACAGTTCCCCAAAGAATTTTTGATGTTGTCAAGGGGTGTTCAGATATGGTTATACTCTAGGTAATTTATACAGAGGTGTAAGCAAATTATAATACAATTTTTTGACTGTATATTTTGTTCTGCTTTTCACAATTTATTTTTATTGGTGAAACGACAAAGTACAAATTATTCTTCTATTCACTTTAAATGACCTGTAATGACTATCTAGATGAGGGGTCTCCAACCTGTGCCTCAGGAGCTACCAGTAGCTCGCCAGCCCCTTTCAGGTAGCTCCCCAAAGGATTTCGATTTTAACAAATTACATTACATATCTATTATAAGTAAAAATATAGGGTTTTACAGTATTACGGTATATTTATGTGTTTTGTCGTAATTACAAACATTTTTTATTACAACTGCAAAAGCGAGTAGCTCTCCGCCTCTTTTGTTGCATAAAAGTAGCTCTCTGATTGAAAAAGGTTGGAGACCCCTGATCTAGATAAATGTCTATGTTATTAGAGTTCACATTTCATAACGTGTTAAGTCCTCCTGGCATTCGTCTGTTTAAGCTCCATTCGATACAAGCAACAAACCACAATAATAGATGTTTTTAAAGCTGGGGAGTTTGGACTCCAATTTAGACTTGGAACAATATTCAAGGAATTATATTTATGGTCACGGTGCACCTCTGTCAAATCAATCTTGTTTGGACTAGTTTTATGCAGCATCTCTTGTTCCGGACTTCTTGAAATGACATTGTCTTGTTAAAAAGTGGTGTAGTCTCAAACTCTACTCGAAAAACTGAAAGGCTGCCTCTGCTCTCATTAGTACCTAACTTTAAAACCAAGTTAACCATGTAATCAAATCAATCTAACAAGTTCCTTACTTTCAAAAGAGTTTGATTCTATGTGTTTTTTTCACATGCATGTATCAAGAGGCCATGCATCATGCATGGCCGCTGTCAAATCTCAAGATCAGCTTTTTCCAACAGCAAAAAGTGAAAAAGAAAGGACCACCCTCAATCAGCCAATCAGCTCTCAGCCCAAAGCAACCTGTTTTCTAATATAAACATTAGGAAAAGACAGAACGTTCTGGTCTAATTTGACTCTTTCATGTAATATTCTCAAAAATATAATGTTGGCTTTGAAGCTTAAATGTGACATAATAGTTATATAGTCCACCATGAAAAAAAACTGCGTTATCATCAAAATGGAAAGTTAGACAAAGTGACAGGTGGTGTTTTTGGTGTAAATTGCCTTCCTGTCAGTGATCATAGTAACAGCCTTTTTGACACTTTCCTTTTTATCTTGGCTGGCTCATCACTGTTTTTCCTGTCTGGCTTCCTGTCTCCTCTCCTCCGCACTTCCTCTGCTCTCAGCTCAGTCCTTCCCCCGTCCTGGTGATGAAGCCAATGTGACGCATGTGCCCTGTCGGCTGATTGATTGGTTAATCTTCTTATGGAGCACAGAGGAGACTGAGGATGCCAAGGACCGGACCACACTGTACCACGGGCTGCCTGAAGTTGTTACACTCACTGGGCGTCCTCAAGGTTTTTTACAATGTTATTTTACAATGCATACTTTTTTGTTTATTTTAGTTCCATACGTCTCAACAGAGAATTGAGCCTAAGTTAAAAAAAAGCGTCTAAAAATCTTGATCTAAAGGATTTTACTATCCATCCATCCATCCATTTTCTTCCTTTTCATCCGTTGCCGGGTCGAAGGGGCAGCAGTCTAAGCAGAGACGCACAGACTTCCCTATCCACACACACTTCCTCCAGCTCATCCGGGGGGACCCCAAGACGTTCCCAGGCCAGCTGAGAGACATAGTCCCTCCAGCGTGTCCTGGGTCTTCCCCGGGGCCTCCTCCCGGTGAGACGTGCCCGGAACACACGCCCAGGGAGGCGTCCAGGAGGCATCCAGAACAGATGCCCGAGCCACCTCAACTGGTTCCTCTCGACGTGAAGAAGCAGCGGCTCAACTCCGAGCTCCTCCTGTGTGATTCTACTAATAAAGTCTAATGGAAAGTGTGGCATAAAAACCTATCGCTTTAAAGTCCACAACCTCTTTTCCTTGTTTTGATTTTGTCAACAAACTGAATTCACTTCTGGGACCTTCTTGTTGTGAGGCAAAAGTGCACGTCCCTATGAGTCAGTGTATCAATTCTGATTGAGAGGAAACATCATTGCAAAATTATTAAAACACAAATATATGGTGGATTTTGATAGTAATAAGGTTTGCAGTCGGTCTATATACCACATTAGAACTATGGGGGTAATAGTAGTACCAGTAGTAGAAGCGGAAGTAGTGAAAATTATAGTGAAGATTTATAAGAATAATTATATCATCACTTTTTGAAGGTTGTAGCTGTAGATTATTTATGCGAACAAAGGAACATGAGGAGGGTTTTAATAAGCGTGTGAAATTTCATAACACTTTGAAGCAACTTTTGTTAAAGTTAAACTCATCATTCTATCAACTCAGCCAGTACTTTTCCCTTGTTTTGTCTATCTGAAGGCCAAGCTACATGGCACTGTGGCAGCTGCTGATTGGAGGTCTCCATGCCTCCGCTCTGTATAATACACTTGCATTCTGTTGTTCGTGTTGTTCGTGCTGTCTCTACCATTGACAATAAAACATGTCTTCTGTCTGAATTTAAGACACGATCCCAGACTTTGTCATCTTCTTCAGGTGGTGGAAGGATGCGGGCCTTGTCTGTAACATCTAGAGAACAGAAGACTACCAAAACTGAGAAACCTCAAGAGAACCCATGCATCTGGATCAGCACTTGGACAATCTGCACAGCCCCTGATTCCACTCCGGCTGTGAGCTGCTGAGACATGGACAATACCATTGTCCTCTTTTGCATGGACATAATTTGGAACAATTGGATTTCTGAATGTGGACATAATTTGGTCTGAATTGGATTTCTGAATCTGGACACTAAAGCTGAAACGTGTGATTGAAAGACACGTCACAGAAGAATTCATGGCTCGACACAAATGCAGCCTGAAGAAACCAACGCGGAGAAGTGGGAGAGACTGTTTTCAAAGCAATATCTGGAACCATCGACTGATGAAGTTTGGTATTTTACTGAAGATTGTTGACAAGTTTTATGAAAGATCTGAACATGTTTTATGAGTTTTATGAGTTTTTGAAGTATTCCGAGTTCTGAGTTTTTTGAAGTACCGAGTGAAGTACCGAGTTTATGAGTTTAAGTATTGAGTTAGGATGTTATGTTGCTGTTTATCGATCCTGATGGTCACACGTGAATGTATGACCAGAGGGGGGAATGTGAGATTTCATAACACTTTGAAGCAACTTTTGTTAAAGTTAAACTCATCATTCTATCAATGTGCAGAAGCCTGTACTTTTCCCTTGTTTTGTTTATCTGAAGGCCAAGCTACATGGCACCCGTGGAAGCTGCTGATTGGAGGTCTCCATGCCTCCGCTCTGTTTAATACACTTGCATTCTGATGTTCGTGTTGTTCGTGCTGTCTCTACCATTGACAATAAAACATGTCTTCTGTCTGAATTTAAGACACGATCCCAGACTTTGTCATCTTCTTCAAGCATAATAATTGTCGACAAATTAACAAAAAGCTGCTCAAAGTACAGTCAAAAGGCTCTTTCTGTCTGACCTGCATCTAGGTTCGAACAGTTCATTGAAGTAGAGTTTGGAGACGCTCACTCACCTTACTGAAAAAGATCTCATCAGCGTGGCCAGTGTCCGTGTCCACTGTGTATATGTGGTCCCTGGAAGAAACAGAGAAGATATGAGGTCAAACAGACAGTCAGAAAGTCCACAGAAATATAGCTTTTATTTTCTCTCGCTATGTTTAGCCCCTGGGGGCACAAACAAGTCTGGAAATGGGCGCTTTGTGTAAACTTTGTTCAAACTTCAAAAAAATTGACAATAAACAAAAGGAGGCCAAAGCTATTTGCCCTGTCAGACAGAAAACGTCAACAAAGGTTTAGAGCAGTGTGGCACAGGCCTAGGACAAAGAGGCTTTTGTCCCACTGTAAGGTCTTGAGGAGGGGTGAGGGGGTGAAGGGGGGGTGGGGGGGTAGGTGCCAAGTCACTCCGAGCTGTTCAGGTCAATTAAGCCTAGTGTTTGAGCCACAGGAAATCTATACTAACACTCATTATGGCGCAGACACGAAAGACTTATGTGTGCTGGCCTGGAAATATACAGGCTAGTGCTGTGTTATGGCGTCCAGGCATAGAGCATATGGAAAACATAAAAGCACCAGGGTTAACACGTATCAGACAGACGGAGCTCCGGGTCACTCTAGTCGCACCTACTTACCATGGAGAATTAGGGTGCAGACAGGCAGAGGGGGGCCGCGACGGGGGAAAGGTGAAGAGAGAGGAAAGGGGCAACACAATAGTGATTTAAGACCCGAGAAAAAAAAAAGGTGCTTGCATGGGCCAAAAATGTATCGGTGTAAAGCTGTTGGAGTCTTGCCATCCCAATATGTTTTTACTCAAACTGTGAAATAGTGGCGTAATATGATGGATCCAAGTGTTGGACAGCTAAGGGTGTAAGTCTTTTTAACTACTCCCGGCTCCAATTTACAGAGGGAGAACGTAGAGCACGGATTCAAAGCTTCCACCGAAACTTTTCCATTCAACTATGAAAACTTGTTTTAGTGTGTGTAATCCCTCACTGTTTCAGGAGTGATCAATGCGAGAACAAGTTTAAAACAAAAGTAATCCAGGAAAAGTTTCCTGATGTTTCAACTCGTAAAACTCTTTCATATTTGATATTTGAAGTAACTTTTGCAAAACTCTACTACATTTGAAACTGGTTCCACCTGTTTTAACCTGAAATTGTTACAGACTCTTCTTGAACCTAGTATTATGAATCTATATAAAATACTTTACCACTAACTGTGTTGTAGTGAAACTGACCTGATAAACCTTCAACACGAAGATACAGATACTAAAATTGGGAAATATACCATGAAGGTATTTTGACAGAAGGATAAGTTTGGATTATTGCCATTATTGGCAAATTTCTCTGAGGTTGGAAATGTCATGTTGGAATGTCGTGTTAGAACGAAACCAATAAGATAATTTACATGTCACATTTGGCATAGATAGAATCTATAGATAGAATTGTGCAAACAATTGTTTAGATGCATCTGTACAGTTTGCATGTTCTGCTTTTATCTGTATGGTTCCTATCAGTGTAAAATGCAAGCAATACTATAAGCCCAACAAATGCATACAAAAAACATCTATACCATAATGAAAGAGGAAAAACACAGAGTTTTATCCTGTTTAATGGTGACCAAGCCAAAGTGTGAAACGCCTTTCAATTGTTGGAGATTAGCCACTCAACATATTTTTAATCAAAGAGTGTAACAGTGGCCTCGTCAGAAACATGGCTTAATTACGCTTCTGCTCCCCAACCAGCAGCTCGTATTGCTCTCTCATTAACCAAATCTAATAAAGTCTTTGGAGGAACAGGCATCTCAAAATGAATCCACTTATATGGCTTTCCAGGGGGCTGCCATCATTTCCTCAAGGTTGAACCCAGTCTATGTTGATGTCAATTTGCTGAAACGCTTCCCTTTCATTGATAATCTTTCCAGGTGTGTGATTCAGTAACATTTTGTCTTTATCTTAGCATATATTTTACATACTGAGCTGTTTGTGGGTGTGGGTGGTCATGGGACGTGTTGTTAAAACTAGAGATAGAAGAGATCGACAAGGAGGAATGGGTCAAAACACCAGCAACAGTGTGTGAAAACCTTGTGATGACTTACAGAAAATGTTTGAAACCCATTCCTCAAAGGTTTGACAGAAGCCAAAAATACAACATTTTGAGAGCTCACACTAGTTACATGTATTTATTACATAGTTGTGATTTAAAAAGTACTTATTTGAAAGATCTCACCGATAAGACTTTTCTTAAATTGCGTGTATCATACTATAAACAAACCATTATTTGGAGTTGTATAATAACTGGCATTGTGACAGCTACACTACTGAGGTTTTGACTTGTTTCAGTCTTTGAGCCTGCCGAGAGGAAGAAGTCCACTAAAGGTTACTGTGAAGCGGCGCATGGCCTTTCAACATTCAAGTTCACTGGCTTTAGAAAATGCCAAGCGCTAACTACTACTGTGCACCCTTCCGTGAGCAAAACAGAGCATTGTGGCCCAAAATCAAAGGCACTTCTGCTCTTCCAATACTGCAGAAGTCCTTTACAAGACTGGTTTGATTCGTCCATACCAGTCAAAAGTAGGATTATGATCAAATGTAGCAAATCATGTTTTTATACTGACTGAACATTCCTTAGAAAGTTGGGTTGTTCTATTCTTGCCCTTCAAACTTGTGAAGATTGTTAATCCATGGTAACAAAACACGATCGCTACTTGATGAACCAAATACAAAGTCAATTTTATTGTTTGCACGCACTCAACATAACAAGTGCTCTCATAAGTTCATAGCGCGCTTCATTTAACTTGTATCATATTCAAACTTTGTAAGACAAAACCAAATCAGAAGCTGTTAAAACTGAAGGATTACTTTGCGGATTTGCCATAATCCCTGGGGTTATTTTACAGCAGCCAATTTCACACTGCTCATGAGTAATCTATAATTGAGTGGAGTATCCTTTTTCTGACAGTAACCTTGGCAGCGCTGTGCTCCTGTCGGCTCAGCACGTAATATGGAACATCAACGATTTGTAGCGTAACTACCCCGTTACAGTGTTACACCCCCAATGCAAACATGGAGTATGTTGTTGGGTTTTCTCAGAGGTAGGACTCAAAATCAGTTTTTGGTCTGTTGGTCAAGCCCTGGCCTCTTGCACAAGTCAGTGAGTTTACAAAGCATAAGAATACAGAGAATGTCAAACAAAAACCTGACTCTATTTGCCTTCTTCTTTTTTTTTTTTAAACTGGTCTATCCACTTTAAGGTCCCGTCTTCCTGCGCCCTCTGGAGAAACAGAGCCTGGTGACGCTTTCAAATCTTTTAAAAGGTATCTCGGGACCCACACTTTGGTCATTTCGCAAATTACGCAATATCTTGTTGCTTTGAGGCAACAAAACCAAACCACTGAAAAATGAAACAATGAAATATTTGTGGCGAGGGAATGTCAGACATCTATATGCGTCCACATGTAAACATTTCATTACAATATATAAGCATGGATTTTCCCTGCGCTCTTAAATGCATCTGCCACTTGTGTCTCAATAGGATCTGGTTTATGTGGATACATGCCAGCTAGTACTTGTCCCATCCAGTTACCAAGTGCTAATCCGACTGGTTTTCCACCACTCAATTGCAGCGCATGGTTATTTTTCCTGCTATTTATAAATCGGACTTGCGCAAGATATGTTTTTATACTAGTGCTTGGTTGGAAGAGACCTAACAAACCTGGTACCACATGTTCATATTGTTTTCAGTTATCATAGCATCAAATGAATAATTTAATTAATTTCAATTTATTTTTGTATAGCCCTAAATAGTCAAATTCGCCAATAAAGATCACAGAATCAAACAGTTCCAACACAATACATGCAATGATAACAAAAACACATTGAGCCATAGATCCATAAGAGTCAGGTGACCAATGTCCATAAAAAGCTTAAGAATATAAGTTATGATGAGTTTTTGGCAATTAAAATCTTCAATGAAGTGTGATTCCCACTTCTTTAAGACTCCGGACCGTCCACTTCCAGCTGAGATTATAGAAAGCCGGGGCAGCAGTGAGGCGTCCCGTGTACATCCTGACCACTCTGCACTGGGACAAAGGGCGGCTGTGTCTGTGTCAACACCAGCCTCACAAACAGAAGAAAGAATCCCCCAGCGCACTACAGCCCTTTATGGTCCAGCACGCTCTATCAGACAGGCAGCCACACGCATGCAACCCTCTACCCTGAGCGCCGCGTCTGCCCTGAGTCACGTCCACAGACAGTTCAGTGAGGGGAGAAGAATGCAGAGGTATAGGGGCCGTCAGCAGTGCAGACCACACGGGTAGAATCGCTCCATAAAACACTGGGCTATTGTGATTTTGTCGGCGATCTATGGCTCCAGGTGTGATTTATGATGCCTGTGAATCATTATTTTATTTTTGTGCAGTATCTTAAACATAAATATTGATCTAAAAACATTTTACAAATCAGATGAACTAGAAAAATGGTTTAATGAAGGTTGGTCACTGATCAAAATCACACAATAACATAAATATTGAGCCTATTTATAATCATTACGAGAACATATTTCTAAGATGATCTTAAATATTTAAATATATTATTGTAACATAACTACTGCTGGTGGCATAGGGTTGACTTAAATATTAAGTTTGGCAAAATAAGGGGATAAATATGTTTGCTTATATAACAATATACATCTAATGTGTTTAATTCTACCTATAGAATATATATATACTATGTGTGTTAGAATTGGTCGATACAGGGGAGTGAATGGGAAGAAAACATTGTAGCTTTTCACATATTGCTTGCATTGAACTAGTAGATTTTTTTATTAAAATAACCATTTCATTTTATTTTGTTCATAAAAAATCCACCTACATACTTTCCTTTCCATGTCACAGGAACGTACAGGTTAAGGAGACCACACTAGTGGCTTTGTGCTGGAGACCATTAAAGCTAATTGTGTGTATTTAAAGTTATTGCCAAGCGCTTTTTCATTCTTTCTTTTTTTTCCAAAGCCAACCTGATTGATTCTTCCAGGCAGCCAGTGGTTTCCTCTGAGACTCAACTAGTACGGGCTTGAACA